TATGTTATTTTATTTATTGACTTATGAATTATAAAGAAAACAGTTTAAATCAAAACTGTTTTATGTATTTATTTACCTTCTTTAACTCATCTCGGTAAATAAAATTACTGACCCCCAGTGATTAAATTCTTCTCTAAAATTAGCATACATCAATTATGATGATGCTTTTAAATCTCCCAAAAAATTATGTTTTGATAAAGCTATTAAACTGTGATGATTTGATCCAAAGCCATTCTCACTATAACACGTTCGTTGGATTCACTATAACAAGTTGGTTGGACGAGAATTTTTATAGCCTTAAGGCAGTAAAATCTTATCCAAATTTATGTTAAATGCTTGAACAGAATATTATGTTCTGTCAATCAAGTGATTGTTAATTCTGAAATCAGCAAGTTACGATATATTTTATGAGGTTTTATTTAAGAGGTTACTCAGTATTGATGGTATAGAATGGTAATAAAGTGGTAATAGTAATGATTGCAGCTGAATTATTTGCATAATACGTACAACTTATCAGAATTCATGTCTTGGATACCATCAACTGTTACCATGTTATCTTTTTAATAAGTAGGAATATGCTGATTATTTTATCTCATTGTTGCATGGATGGATATTATAATCACTGGGAATGAAAAAGCAGGTTCTGTATGAACATCACATGAAATGTTTCTATGTAGACAAAGTGACTGTTCTGAAATCATATCTCAAACCATGATTATCTTAGCAAAAAGTGATACTTTGTGACTAATGGGATGATCATTTTAATAGCATTGTTTCATTGTTGCTCTTGTAAAAAGCCTCAGCTTCTCTGCTGATCATGAGCATGAATGTCGCTGACATTTACCCATTTGATCATTGGATTGTCTTTGGATTGATGAGCAATCAAAAGTTGATTTCTGCATTTGGCATCTTCCAATCTAGTGTGCATATTTCAGGTACTCCTGAACTTCCTGTAGAAGGTATGTCATGACCGAAATTATGTGAAATAGCACTTCATCTTTTCCCGATTTCAGTTCAAAAAGTTGTACTATGGCATCTGTCAGATATCTGAATGCTGTTTGCAAGTAATTAAAAACACTAGTCAGTATTGTTGTGGATTAAAACTGTTTTGAACTGTTGTGAAGTAACATTTGGTTGCAACTCAGCAGTTCTTTTTTAATGTGCTTAACATATTCACCTGTGACGTTCAGCAGTTCCTTATTAATGTGTTTAACATGACTTTTAACTAACCACAGAGGAAACATTTCTGTTATTTAAGAGCACAGGTTCCAAAGATCATTATTGCATCAGAAGGTTTCAATACTTAAAGTCAGTGTATAGACGTATCTTTTGGTTGGGTTGCAATTAGAATGAAGAAGGTTCCTCAAATTCTTGTTAAGCACAATATTTATGGGAATCTTTGGTCCCAAGAAATTTTCATTGTTAAATAGTACCTTCCTTATTGATTTACTTACATGGCCATAAAACAAAATTTTCCCTCACCATCATAAAAAGTTGCAGGTAGAAACCTGCAATTTCAACTAATTTCAGAAGAATGCATTTTCAGAAAGAATTGCCAGTTGTGTTTTGCATTCATGGATGTGATATGGCTTCTACGTTATGCCGACAATGCATTTAGGTTGACTGAATTGAAAAATAAATAAAATACATATTTCAAATTCAGAAACAGTGTACATAAAATGCGCTAAGGGAATATTTTGAATTAATTGTCATATCATTGTAGAAGTGTTATCCTTTTCTCATTGTATGAAATCTTGGAATTATTCTGGACCAGATCATCTGTTTCTTGATGACTTTTCTTACAATACTTATATAATTGTATATACAGTAAGACCCCGCTTAATGCTGTTTCATTTAGCGCTGTTTCGGTTTAGCACTTTTTTATTTCAACCCGGGAATTCCACGAAATCGCTCGCAGCATCGGGATTCCCGCATATTATGCCGCGATAGGTTTCAAATACATATCCGAAAGAGGTACTTGTATTTCTTGTTGGTGCGGTTTGTACAGACATATTTGAAGGGGTAAAGTGGAAGATGTCGAAGAAATAATTCAAGAAGCAGCGGCTAGTCTTTCTAATGATGAGCTCAAGGAATTAAGAACAAGAAGAAAACAAAAATGTGACAGCAGTGATTCAGAAGAGAGCAAAATGAACTTTCGATGGCGTTTGTAAAAGGAGTTTGTCTACCAAAGAAATATGGATCAATCATTGAAATGATCCGAATTTTGACAGGAGCTCAAAATAAGGCGTGGTGTTAGAGATGCTCTATCCTTTATGAAAAACTTTAAGAGAACAACGCAAAAGAAAAAGGCAAACAACATTAGATGCTTTTGTCACAAAAAGGCAGAACACTGAAAACGCGGAGCTAACTAAAATGACTGACTTAGAATTTTTTTTTTTTTTTTAAGAATATTCGTTTTGTTATTTATATTTTGTTTTATTTTGCAAGAAATAAACGTGGTATTAAATTTGCTTTAAGAAATAAATGTTTGGTTTTATTTTTATTAAAAAAAAAATATTTTAAATTAATACCTAACCAATTTCCTAGCCATCTTCCCCAACCCCAATATTTACATGTAAAGATAGCCTCGTTTAGCGCTGTTTCGCATTAGTCTATTTTGATGGAACGATCCGCGTTAGCGGGTCTTCTGACAGTCAAAAGCTTAATCCGACTCGTCGGGATTGGTGATCCCATATCGATTTTTCCGGATTATAGATCCAGTTTAAATTGGTAAGATGGATGCAGAAATTATAAAAATTAAAAATATGAACCTATTTATAAAATAAGAGCAATTGATCGAAAGGGTATCAAATTTACAAAAAAGCTTAATATTATTTGTTACTTTAAAAAAATTTTTCAACGTGCGCATGCGTAAAGTATAATTGCTTAGCCGAAATTAGAAAATGCAACAGAAAAACATTGATTGATTCGTGATATTAAATTGACGAGGAATTGATTTAAATCATATCAAAGCGAAGGTACATCGAGATAAATACACATAATAAGGAATTATAAGCCAAATAAAAAAAACATCTGCCCGAAGATAACGATGTTGACAGATCAAATTCCAGTTCATTCATGGCACCCCCCCGTGCAGCAAATTGATAAACTGATTTCGAAACGGGTTAGATAACAAAGGATATGCCTTATCATTTTGGAGCATCCACTTTTGTTATGGACCTCGAAACATACTTCGTTTTGTAATCCTTGGGAGCTCAGCATCGGAAATTCTATTTGACATAATCGAAAGTTCAAGCTTACTTTTAAAAATTGCTCTACAGTCAGCAAAAAAAATAAGCCGATCCTATTGAAGATTAAGGAAAAACCGCAATCATCAACATAACTAAAAGACAATTAGATAATTTTAGCTATACCGTCCGTAGACATAACGCGCAGCGAAAAATAGTAGCGCTGTGCACACGAACAGCGCAGTCGTAAAGATTAAGCGCCGCTTAAACCTATGCGCATGCGTCAACACGTCGCATGCGCAGAAAGTTTTTAGCTTTGAGGTCCGAATTAACGACTTTTGACTGTATTATATTATAATGACAATCTAAAATTAATCTTTTCATAAATATGACATCACACATAAACTTTTCATTATATATAGGTATCCAAAAGTTGATTATTTTTTTGCTAATGAAATTTATCTGGAGCATGTTGTCAGCAGTCAGATCTAAAATTACCTTGGATGCAAGTAAATTTAGAGGAGATCAGATTAGCTTAGTCACCTGCAACTTCACCTAATTGCAGAGGAAGCATATCTTTTTAGGGTAGAGGTTCCCAAGCATTTTCCATTCTTAGTATTATTGATGTTTCTAGTTAGGTTAGGTTACTATTAGACTGAAGAGCAAACTATCTCAGCACCTGGTTGAATGGAGTACTTTCAAGAATCTTTGATTCCAAAAATTTTTGTGACAAACATCAAATTTCCATCAACGTTATTGCTTGCTGGTATATGCAAATGATTGCATTCTTGTTGGATCTGCAGTTTATTGTTTCATAAAATTGCTTCTCATGTTAGTCAGGAACCCATGACTGTCAAGGTGAACATGAAATCAATTTGTCCAAAAGGTCCATACCGAATGCCATGCAAGATCTCATTGGCCACAGATCACTAATGCCCAAGAACACAGACAATGAAGTTGTGTCTCAGTCTTATGTTATTGTGTAGCCACATGATGTATCGAGTATTGGCCCATGTGCATGGGCAACAAATCTCTGCACAGGCAATGTGACAACATGATCAACACCATAGACTGTCAGTGTGGTAATAATTGTTGTGGCTTTCCTTGAGGCTGCAGCAGTGGCAGCACTTCATCTTTTCAGACAAATTCCAGTTCTATGTAAAACATGATGCATGCATTCCTATGTGAAGGTACAGAGAAAAGAATATTGCCAGCTTGCATTCATCATCGTCATGTAGGCCCAGCGCCTGGCATGCTGGTATGGGGTGCCATTCCATATACATCCTGTTCACCTCGTGTTCATTGCTGGTAATGTGGACAACCATCTTTACATTTCTGATGTGTTAAAGCCCATGGTTGTCTCAAGGTGCACATAACCTTAATCTTTCAACTAGATAATGCAAGACTGCATGTTACATATGCTGTCCTGATCTTCCTCAGTACAGAGAATGTTCACACAACTACTTGCCAACTGCACCTTCGATACAGAGGGTGCCTGCTATTACGGTTGATAAACATTTGCATAGAATTGAAGCCATATCAGCTGAAGTATTCGTATGTTATCCAAGCTCAGTTTGACTTGATGCCCAGCCAGTTTACAACCATTGTTGCTGCAAGAGGTATCAACTCTCTGTACTGAATTTTGCTCATGCAACCTGCAAATTTAATCATGTCTTTCTCCCTTATACCACATATGTACAATAAGTAAGATTTTTCTATTTGCTTTTTTTTTTTTTTTTTTTCCCCTTGTGTAGTAAGTTCACTGGCTTGCAGTGTAATTAATTATATCTCATGATACTACCTTGACCATACAACAGATATTTTTTCTGCTCACCATAAAAAGTTTTATGTAGAAACCTGCCATTGTAAAAGAATTCCAGAAGAATGTTAAAAGTCTGTATGAAAAGGTTTAAATGAGTTAAAATTTGAAAAGACCTTGAATTCATGTACATTTATTGACATTTTCTCCTTGAAAGTAATTTTCACATCAATTTATAAACAGGAGTGTTTTGTATACAGTGTTTTTTAGATGTTGTTCCTGTCAGAGAACTTATTAATTATCTGATCCTAAAACCTCATAGGCAAAGTACCATGTTTATGAAAGTGTTGACATATATTGTGGTATATCTATAAGCCAGTGCTTCTCAACCTTTTTTGCACTCCTTTCACCGTTGTGAGACAGGCATTCCTTCCTTTCCAAAACTTGAAAAATACATATATGTTTATTTAAATTGGGATTATTTTTACTGTGTTTTAAAACTGTATTGATAAATACCAAGCAAAAGCAAAAAATTTGTTGATAAATACCAAAACTTGAATAAAAGTAATTTTTTATATTCATAAAACTAAATACTTTAGTTTTACTAATAATTTATTACTTAAGTATTTAGTTTAAACTAAATACTTAAGTAATAAATAAAAAGCTGACTGGATACCCCCTTAAAACTATAAAATTATTCCCTGGGGGAAATCATCTCTGGTTCAGAACATGTGCTATAAGCCATCCATGGTCCTCATTTTAGGAAATACTACTATAGAGTAAAGATAGAGGGGATTGTTTAGAAAATTTATGATCATTATTCTACTTTATAAAATTAACCACTTGCACTACGACTAAACTTCACGGTTCTGGTGCCGTGCGCTACAATATAACAAGCGGTTAAGTGTCTCATTTACACTGCTCCGTGTCTGCGAGTACAATTCAGAGCCGTAACTCGAGAAATAAACAATCTCATTGTTAGGTGACGTGCACTACATTATTTTCATTTTTGCGATAAATGCCTATCGACATGGTGTTCACGTCAGTTGCGGTTTGGGACAAAAGCATCTCAACATGCGTGGCACGTCTTTTTAGCGCAAGTGGTTAATGAAATATTAAAGGTTTGAGTTATTAATAATCAGTTTATATTTTAAATTATTATATTATTATATTTTAAATTATTTTGAATTATTGGCTAAAATTGCCAAGTTATGAAAGTCAATTACCGCCAGTTCTGGTAGAAACATTTTATTCAGAAAATGATTATGTATGTGAGAAATTTCTTGCACTTGAATTTTACATATGGATTAGAATATAAATGAGTACAAGCATCTATGAAAATACCAGTTGTATGTGCTTTCTTCAAGCATTTTATGATTAATTATAATTTTTCTTTCCAGACTGCCGTAAAAACATCTGGTGAACATAAGCAAAGGATAATATTGAATGTATCTTTTAATGGAATAATAATTAAGGATGATAAATCTGGGGTATGTTGAAAATAAAAATTTTCATCAAGAGTTTCTGATTATTAAGAAAATTTTTCTTCTGTGTTTACCTTTGTTGCATGTTAATTGACTGTCTTATTTTTCCCCTTTAATTTCAGGAAATTTTGCATCATCATCCAGTTCATAAAATATCTTGTATATCTCAAGACACAAGTGATAGCCGTGCATTTGGATATGTATTTGGCTGCCCTCAAACTGGTCATCAATTCTTTGCTATTAAAACGGAGAAAGCAGTAAGGACTTTCATACTATTCTATAGGAAATTAGTGTTGTTGTTTTTTAAATGAGAGACATTGTCATTGTAAATATTTGAGAGGTTATTTGTATATTTTTGAATGATTTTGCTTAAACAAATAACTGAAATTAACAAAGCATAACAGAATTAGTTGGATAAAGCAATTAGATAGAGGGGCAATTTATTGGCTGCTGTAAAACTCTTGTAAACTCAAAGCAGCTAAATACTTTTTGGATAGAAGGCTGCATTTTCATACTTTCAAAAAAATTCTCATTTTTCAGTTTAAACTATAAGTAGGAGTCTGAATTAAGATATCAAAGATAACGATGAACAATATCATTCACAGAAAAGGGAAAAAACAGTATATTTCCTACAGGAAACAGAATCTTAAATGTTTATTCAAGAAAAGTGTGGGGGCAAGGGTGGCTTAGATGGATGAGTAAATACATTTAACAGTAAGCCAAAAAGATTTTTTTAATGCATTATGTAGGCAGGGCTGTAAGGATCTTTTGTGTTGCACTTATTTTTTTCAGGACATGATTTGGGGGGGGGCTTACTTTCTCTGATAGAAATTTGCAATCTGATAGCAAAAATTGGGTTTGGTGTAATAAACAATTGCAAAAAGTGAAATTAAATCTTGTGAGAGAGCAGGAACAAAATATGTTTTTATCAGGTGAGTGAACTAAAGATTTATATGAAGTTTCAACTAAATTTGAGATTTTGAAGCAAAAGAAAAGTGCTTAATATGCTCAGATGAAAATTATAAGTCATGTAGAACTTAAAGTTACCTCTGAAATACACGTGAGCAAAAATCGATGAACCTTGTCATTGCTGAGTAATGCAAAAGAATCAGATGATTTTAGTAATGCTAGTGCCAGACAAAATCCTTTAAATGAACCTGTGGACATCAGATTGTTATCAACCTTCTGTTCTTTTGTTACTCTTGTGTTTTGCATGTGTTTTAACAGAGAACTGTATATTTTCACAGTGGTAATAAATTTTGATATTCCTAGTAACTTAATGAATGTAGTCACAAGGAGCCTACTATTTGATTTCTTTCGCAGTTTCTTATGTCAAGTGTCCATGATTTGAATTAAATTTTGGAGGAACTGATATTTTAAATGTGTGAAAAACATGATATTCCGCTTAAGATTAACTTTTACCTTTCATAGCTTAGTAATTTAAAAGATAAAGAAAATATAAAGTTCTTTTCTCATTTTGCTCAGCGGTCAGTATAAAATTAACTTCTTTAAATATGATATTGATATTTATTTTATTCAACTTGTGTAACTAATTTTTTAAATCTGTGTGAAAAGCTAAAAGAGAAATATTCCAAAATCCAGGCCTCGCAAGTTGTTTACACTTTGAGAGACCTGTTTCTTGCTGCACTTGAATTAAAAAAGAAGGAAATAGAAAAGGCTAAAGAAACGCAGAATGATGAAGCACAGGATGACCAACAAGATACAAAAAAGGTAGTTTTGGTAAATTTAATGTACACATATATTTGGGATTTTTACTCTTTATTTTTAAAAATTTTTTCCATTATGTTCCAATTTAGTTGTCTTAAAGTCACAGCAGTTTTATGTGGCCAGTTATTTCCCATAAATTAATTATCATTATTTTGACTTTATTTATTCTGACAAGAATTTGAAGAAAGATCAAGATTTTGAGTACAGTTTTGCATTATATTCTTTACTATTAAAAAAATAAATGTGAGTAAAGCTCTAGAAAATCTGTAGATGTGGATTCTTAATTACCACTGTAATATAAATCTTATTCATAGATTTGAAGATGCAGATTTGATTAATCTTCTTTCATATTTGTCAAAAGATTATGGTATGAATTTTTATAATAAGAATAATCACTTTGTTTGAGAAGGGGAAAAAAACCAGGCTGATCGATGAGCATGTATAATTTCTGATATATTTTTTAGTAATTTTTCTCCAAGTTTCAAAACTATCAAAATGTCATGTGCTGTTTTAGCTGAAAGCTCTCAGTATGTAAGAAATAAAGAAGTTTATAATTATTTACATTCAAATATATGAATTTTTTCTGTATGCATTAAAAAAAATTGATAACCCCACTTGAAAAGTTTAAGTAATATAATGTTTGATTCAACACATTATAACTATTTGAAATAAGTGCCAGTATAAAAAATTAATATTTAACTCTCAGTATGTTTGAATTACAAAGTGTACAGAATAAAAATTTCTTGTAGAACCGAAGTTTCATTTTGGTTTTTAAAAAAATTCCCATCAACTTCTTTATAGATCATGCATTTGCCCTGCATGCAATTTAAGTTTGAGACAACTGTTCTGATTTCAGTTTTTATATTTTTATATGATTAGTTTTTATGTTATAGGTATACATTATATCAAATGTCATCATGGTAAATTTTCATAGGTTTTTTTGCATTTGGTTCTTGTATTTGCAAAATTTTTGAAGAACTATTTTATAATATAGTAGAAGTCCAGAAATCTGCAATGCTTTGGACCAAAGGTTGCACGGATTTTAGGATTTTGTGGATTTCAGGACAGAAAAGATAAATCATAATAGTCAGACTAAAAGTGCAAAATAAATAAGACATATTAGATACATTTAAATAAATTTATATATACATTATTACATTAATTTATTATATATGTGTAAAGGGGTTTTTAGATAGGGTCATAGAAGAATCGTGTATAGTGTAACAAGTATTCATTAACAGGTTTAAGTTATACATAGACATTACGGTTAACTTTAAGAAAAAAAACAGCAAAAGTCTGATATAACCTATCAGGTTAGACACTTGGCTTTTACTAAAGTTCTTCTCTGGCTACTCACCAGAGAGCAGCCTTGTTGTCAGTAGTCCAACAGTTTATTAAGGGTGGTTACATTGTGAAATTATTATTACATATATATCATATTATATTATATTGTGATTAAGGAATATTAAAGCAGTAAGGATGCATCATTAAAGACACATGAAATAAGGGATATAAAGCTTTTTTTTTTTTTTTTTTTTTTTTTTTTTTTTTTTTTCTTGCTGTTTAAACATTTTTGATAGAGGTTTGTTTTAAAACTTTAGAGTGCTCCAGAGTAAGTTTTTTTGGTTTTTGTTTTGGAAAATTATATAGACTCATAATCTCTTTATTCTAAAAATTTTAGGTATTTTTCACCATGTTCCAAACCTTCATTAAAAGATTTTTCTTTCACTCCTATCAAATTCATTATTTGTATCGGTGTCAGAATTGTTTTCTTGCTGTGGCAAGTTCAAAACAGAGCCAATGATTTCATCATCAGTCATCTGATATGCCAGTGTTGGCTTATCTGAACTCATCATCCTTTCAACAATGTCTTCTTCTTGCAAAGCCTCCTAATTTATTCTTTCTTTTGAATATATAAGCAATTCTCTTGCTTTAACTCTTGCTGCACTAAGCCTAAAACCGGAAAATTCACTGTTATCACTCTCAGTTTCAATAAGCAGTGAAGATGGACTTACATTAAGCCAGGCATTTACTAATGTTATTACATTATTAAATACCTATTAATTCATTAAAAGGCATTTAATAATGTAATAACACGTTATTCAGTTAACTAGGAGAATAATGGGAAACAGAATTTCTTGATTCAGCGATCAAATAAATGCAGTCTTTGATGGTGTTCCCCCCACACACGCACACACTCACAATGCCTTTTAGCCTCTTAAATGAAATGTTTCATGAAATATTCAGTCATAAGTTGTTTCCTGAACCAAGAATTCTTATTATTCCTGTAAATCACAGGTAAGGATTTTACTCCATTCAGAGCTCTAAGATTGTTACTCTTACCCAGTACCACTGGTGTATGTTTGTAAGTACCAGCTGCATTGTTCCTCTAGCTTCTTTCATGCCTGATGGTGCACTTTCTTTCCCTTGCCACAATTGTCTTTCTTGGCAGACATCGCTAAAATCTCCCAGTCTCGTCCACATTAAAAACATTCTTCTGGACTAAGATTTTCTTCGGCCACTAACATAGAAAATTCATTAAAAAATTCCTCTGCAGCATTTTTATCTGCTGAAAGTTTTTCCCACTTGCTTTCAGATAACGTGTACCGTGTCTCTGCTTAAATCTGTTCAGCCAACCACTGCTGAAATCGAACGGCTTCTTTATTATTAAATCAGCATGAATCTGTTTTTTCTTTTATCTCGGGAGAATGATTATGGGATACCATGAAATTGCTACGCCATCACTATGGTATGCCGGAACCACTCGTACAAGACAGCATTGTGGTTTGCCGATTTCGCCTCGTACAAAGATTTCAAATTCTGGTGGTAGAATCATTGCTGCTGTAATAATTCAACAGCTTTCTTTATTTTTCCGTGTATCATAGATGGTCCGTGTCACAATTCCATGCGATTCTGCTATGAACCAAGGAGTATACCTGCCTCCATCTTTTGCAAAATTTCCACTTTTTATGTTACTGTCAGTACAACGTGTATACGTTTTTCAGCGTTGCAAGCAGTAAAATCACAAATGCGTTTCGGATCTGTCATTGTGTTAAAAAGCACTGAAATTTAAAATATTTTGAATTTATCCACAGAATATCCAGATTTAAAAAAAGGCAGCATCAAACAATCTCTTGAAATAACGAAGCTCAGAAATTACAATGTGAATTGTGAACTTGAAAGAAAAGTTGAGTGAACCATCTGCTTTTTTACCTCGATGCAAATTGGAGGGGGGGGGGATTTAACCATGATATCAATAATTTGGTATTTCCATTATGACTCATTATTATTCAGTAATTATGATGTCATTATTCAGTAAATATTTTTCTTTGGTATTTCATTCTCCATATAATGATTTCTGGAACCTATAAATTGAATGTTAATATTTTGAGAGGTAGCATAGATTTCAGGAGTTGGCGGGTTTCAGGTCAGCAGATTTTTAGTATTTGACTGTATTTTATTAATTCAATTAACTAAAAGAATAATGTAAGTAAAAGCAGTTTGTACGTAATTGAAGTATAATTATTATCAAAATAAAATTTGTTTTCTATGTATTCTTAAAATTTACAGCATTTTCCTCATTAAACATGAACTGAAATTTAATTTAAGCAATTTTTCCATGGAAGATAAAAAATGTTCTTAACCACCCAATTTGCATTATATTAATGATCTGATCAAAATCTGATTTAGTAGTTCTGTTTTATTTGTAATAAAGAATTTTTCAGCCTTTAATTATTATTTTTTTTATTATCCTTCAAGTGTATTTCAAATGGATCTGCGGAAGCTCCTGCTAGTAATACTGTTCCTATTGAAAATGGTGTTGATAAAAGTCAAAATCATATAAATCATGAACTTTTATATTCAGTAAGTGTGTATTAGATGTTTTATTTCATGCTGTATAACTTCTTTTTTCTGTGTAAATTCATTTTATTACTTTTCTATTTAAATTAATTTCTAAATTTATGAACAGAATACTGTTTCACTGCCTGAAGAAAGTATAGATGATACTTCAAAAACCAGAACACCTGAAGCAGAATCAGCAGTTGATACTCTTTTAGATCTTCAGTTTGAAATGGATACTTTGCAACAGGTAAAAATGCTTGAATTTATAATGTATACAGCAAATAATTACATAGATTTTAAGGTTTATACATTTAAGAAATAAATTACTATTATTTTAAACCATAATTTCGGATTTTGTAAAATTCATTGCGGATTAATGACGTAACTGCATTTAAAACACTGTTACACAGTGCCAGGTACATTCCTATATTGAGAACATAAAGCCGGTATTTAATTCCTGGATTCGCATTTACTCAATACAGGGCATTTTATAAAGTCCAGGAAGACAAAAGACATTTTATTACAAAAGACATGAAAGCACTTTACTGAAGCACACGAAACATACAATGACGGACACAACTACAAATTTTCTTTCATATTCCAAACTAAAGACTGACTTTGGTTCTTATACATTCTAGAAGCTAATATCACTCTATTGCAGTTTTAATTCACTTCACTTCGCAATATCCTCTCCTGTTGAAACTTGGGGAGAGTCTCAAACTTATAAAGTACACTTGAATCAATCCAATCTTTTATGTGCTTTCTGAAGCGCCTACCATAAGAAGTATATCTTTCCATTATTACATGATCAGCAGACATATCTTGCCATTATTACGTTATCAGCAGACAAATTAAAATCTTTTAATTTTAATTAGTCTTAAATCAAAAGGTTTTTTGAGAATTAGATTACTCATCTACCATTTTCTTATTTTCAGTTAACATTTTTTCAATAGCCTGTAGCTCTAATGAGAAGACGTGTATTGGTTGCAAGACTCTTCCATATTGAGTTTTAAGTTGAATGATGCAAACTTTCCCATCTTAACCAGGAAACAGTTTAATAATCTTTGCTATTGGCCAAAATAAATGCTTTTTATTATCAGTTAAAGCTATTTCACCAATTTTTGGTTCGCATGACAGTTTTTCATGGCATTTGAGTGAACTCGTCAAGCTATTCTTTTCTAAATTTTTTTTAAATCATTAAAAAGTTTTCTTTATTTAATCTTTTATTCAATTTCTGGGAATACACTTCGTCAATATCCCTAATATGGAACAGCGGTTTTGGATAAGAAACTTAACGGGGCTAAGAGAAGTCAATTCGTGTGCATCTTCTAATATATATATATTAGAGATCTACAACTGATAATTAATTCGCAGTCTCAGATCACCGTATCCAATTCCTTCTGAATATAAATTTATCTGAAGTGCATTTTAACAATTCTTTTGCAATGTGAACCAACCTTTCCCATCAGAACAAATGCTCCTTCATGTTCCAAACTAAAGACTAATTCTGATTCTCATTTAATCTATGTAAGCTGATGTCACTTTACCCCAGCTCTAATTAACTTCAGTTCACAAAAGTCCTGTTCAACATGTCAAAATTCCTATTTGGGTAATATATTTTAGTATGAATCTCTGTAATAATATTGGCATAATTTTCTTGCTTAAAAATATAACAACACTGTAATATATTTTTTTAATAAATATATCCCCTTATGCCATTTTCCACTCTAACATGAGAAATGCAGGATTTTGTAACTCTGGCCACATATGACCTTGGATTTTGGTGAACTTTGTAAATGAACTGTTCATAAATTGCTTTATAAAAGAGCTGTTCATAAATTGAAATTCCAGCGAGAAATTTAAATATTGGCTACATTGTTGGCACTGACTAACTGGCTTCCTGTTATAAAGCAACTCATCCATATGAGTTAAAGGCTTTGAAATGTGCGACCAAAATGACTGTACTGAGAATCCCTAAAAAAACTTTTCTACACAGAATAACAATAAAATTTTGGAATAAAAAGTGCTAAAAGTTAAAAAATAATGAAAACTGAACTCACTTTTGTTAAAGGTTACATTATTTTATTACTATAATTGATATTTTTTTGTTACTGCAAAACACAGTGTAAAAATATATTTTTAGATTAGAGGGAGATTCCAAAGAACAGGAAATTAATTGTATGCTGCATTTTTTTTTTTAAGTTAATTTGACAAATGATGCCAAATATAGCTCAAGGTTCATCTCTTTGGTAGGATCTATATTTTATTCTGTAATCTTGAAACAATACATCTGATGGAAAAATTTATGTTTATAAATATATACTAATTCTAAAGATCAAAAAGAAATTCACAGCTGTTGATTACAAGACGTTAGTAAAATAAGTAAATAAACAAAAATATAATTTATTATTTTACATAAATATTACAGTAATATTGTATTTAGAAAGGTGATACTTAATATATATAGCTGTGCTGTGACACAGTAGTCAAAGAATCGAAATGAAACCCCACAGAACAGCTCCAAGAAAGTGAAAAGAGCAAACGATCAAGATTCCGCATGACCCAAATTTGAAAGAGTGATCAGAATCAGATCTACAGCTAGAACAGGAGTGATGAAAAGTACAAAAAATCACAACTACGAAAGACCCAGATCTGCCACTAGTGTCTGAGCGCAAAGCAACGGGGAATCCAAGGAACTAATTCCTTGAATCTACATACTTTAAACAAATCCTCACACTGCCAAATTGGGGGGGGGGAACTAGCCATTTGTAAATGGAGGGTTTATTTAATGTTTTGTTTTTTAAACACTAGATGGAACACAAGCAAGCCAAAAGCATGCAATTATACATACATAACACACATACCCACGTAAAAAATAGGTCAGAGATGTTTTTGGTAAATAATAAAGGAAAGACTCTAATGGTTACATTAAAGGGAATCGATTCATTGGCATGCTTCCCAACAGCTCTCAATGAACTGTTAATGAAGAACTGCCATTCCATTTTTGCCAGAGTGCTGATCGTTCGTTCAGTAAAGTGAATTGGTTCTTTATATCAATTCCAGAATGAATCATCCATCTCTAGTCTGCATGTCACCTTACTAGATTCAAACTAGTGGTTTTAAGTCTGGAATTGCTGAAAACCCACCGGTTCCAGATCTTGGACTTTGTACTGTGTTAGGTTTTTTCCGAAGTTATTTCTGATGTCATGTTTTTTTTTTTTTCCTGGGTGAATACAGCTGTAAAATGAGGAAATTATTTAGTTCAAATTTATTGATGGACTGTGCTCTTACATCAAAATATAAGTTAAAAGTTATGATGATGTAAATTTCCATGAAATAATCAATTTCATTTGAAAAGTTTCACAGTGTAGTTTTAAATTTTCCTTCCAAATAATAATCAGATGAATTTGAAATCAAACTTATTCAGCTGAGTATCTAATTCATCATAACTGAGCAGACCACATCATGTGTCTAATCAGGAAGTATTCAGCTGAAAAAGTATTTATTTATTTATTGTTATAGTCTCTATTTCAGTCAATCAAAAGGTGATTTTGATGGAAAAGCAGTCATACATGTTTAATTAAATCATTATTAATTGAATTGTATGAATTAAGCATGCTACTTTAAATATTTTTATTTTTCTAGGGTATTTCTCAGATGGATCATAGCATTGCATCAGCTGCTTCACAGAGTTTGGGTTTTTCATTTTCAGAAGATGACATTTCAGAATCCAGCAGTAGTTCTGTTCCTACTACATTCCAGCTAAAGGTTTGATTATTCCTTTATTATAAAATTTTCAATATTTAAAGCCATTTTAAAATACATGTTTAATTTGACTGAATCCTCATGTTTTCTATGATCTTTCTAAATATGAATATTTTCTTCTGTGTATCGCCATTGTTAGAAGTTTATACAGAGAAGAAAATGTGATAACACATCACGTGTTAATTTAGTGATTAGTTGATGCGTTAATTTTTATAGCGTATTTTAATGTTTTGTAATGTTTATTTTTTCTTACTATGTTAATTTTACTGTAATTATTACCATAGTGTTAAGTTGAATGTACAAAGCTGAAATTATAATTATATTATTATTAAATTTTAATTACCGTTATAAATCTGAAACTTTTCTGTGTATATGCTTTGTGTTATTACTAGAAATTTTCAAGTAAGTAAATTTGGAGTCTTTATTTTTGGATTCAAAATGAACTTTTCATTTACCCAAAATTTTCCATTGATTCCATTAGCTTGAAGCTGTTTAAAGCACTAGGGATGTAATTAATGAAAAGATAAGCACAAATGTCAACTGATTTGTTAGTACTAAGAACAACAAGCATCTGATCAGAAATTTTTGTCAGGAAATTTGTAGCATTGCTTGATAAAAAGCTAATGATTTCCATCAAAATAATCTTCTGTCTAAGATTAATTATTATTATCTTTACATGTGTCGGGTTGGCAAGAAAGTAATTTCGGTTTTTTTAGTGTGAAATGGAATTCAATTTTTCTATACAAAAAAAAAAATAAATAAATAAATAAATAAACTTTAATCAATCAAATATCTCCCATTTTGTTCGATGACATTTTGCCATCTTTCTGGTACCTCCATGATTCCATGCTCATAGAACTTCTGGTCTTTAACAGGAAAAAATTCAACCAAGTGTGAATTGAGATCATCATTATTACTGAAATCTTTACTGTTTAGAATGTTTTGTAAACTTCAAAATAAATGATAATCCAATGGTTCAAGATTGGGGCTATATGGGGGATTTGGGACCATTTTCAGCATATTTTATTAATTTCTGATTATTTCCACGATTACTCTGATAATTCTCCAATATGCAATAATAATCAAAGTCAATCTAAATCTTTTGTGTACTAATATTAACTTGCATTTTTGACTTCAATTTTGTTGTTATATTATTTATTTCTTTTTGTGTTATAGTGCTCGCAGTGAAAGAAATTCACTGCCTCTATAACAATTGCTGACTGAAAACTAGTGTGAAATATACATAGACTCCAACTACTACGGATTCTCCGTAGTTTCTACGGAAATTCATGAAAAACTACGAGCTACGAAAAGTATGGAAAAAACTACGGATTTTACAGAAACAAGAGCAGGAGAACCAGTACGCAAAACGGAACCAACTAATTCATCCGATGATTGGCTGATGAATACTGTGTTATCATATATCACGTGTTGAGTGCGTTCCTAGTTTTGAAGAATTAGCCAATCGTAGCTCAGTAACTCCAACCGTTAACAACTTATCAATAGTTCCACCCAATTGTCTGTCTCCCAGGTTCCGCGCTGATGCGTGTTTAGGCTGCATTCGGCTGCATTGTGTAGTTTACGGCGAGAGCTTAGCGTGTGTCTTGTGATGAACGTTAAAGGTGAAAGATTTTTAATCATAATGCTGCCTCGAACGAAGAAGAAAAGAAGCCAAAATTATCAAAGCAGAAGAAGTTTAAAGATTCATATTCTTCAGAATTTCCATGCATTAAAGTGTCCGAAATTTCTGTGAATCACGCACACAGCAGTGTATGCAACAAAGACTTCTCAGTTGCTCATGGCGGAAAAGATGACTGTAAACGGCATGTGTTTTCTCAAAAGCATATAGAACTTGGCACCGTAAAATCTAAAGAAATAAGAAATTTCTTAATAAAAGATGATGAAACAGATCCTATAAAAGCCGAATGCTATTTGTTCGTTTTTTTAATTGAACATAATCTACCGCTTTCTGTTCGGATCATTCCAAAGAGCTTTTCAAAGCAATGTTTCCGAATTCTGCCATAGCAAAAAAATTTAGCTGCGGTCATACCAAAACTGCTGCTATTGTGAAAACGCTTGCAGAAAATACTGCTGCTGATATTATAAAATCAGTGTGCAGTACATCATTTTCTCTAAGTACTGATGGAAGTAATGATAACAAACTGTACCCATTGGTTATAACATACTACAGTAAAGAAAAGGGAGTGATAATTACTTCATTGATTTCTATTTTAGAATGCACGAATAATACAGCAGAAGGTATTTTTAATTGTATAAATGAAAACTTTAAAAACAAAGGTTTAGAATGGAAAAAATTGCTTATCATTTTCTTCAGATAATGCTAGTAATATGATTGGAAAGTTTAAACGTGTTGTAGCATCATTTATCAAAATGCATCAACCAAGTATAATCACCCGAGGTTGTCCGTGCCACCTCTTGCATATAGCTGCAAAAAAGGCTACTGAAAAATTAATTGGCTAAGAAATTGAAATGTTGATTAATAGATATATATTTTTACTTTGGAGAAAAGTTCGAAAATAGAAGCATAGCTCCAAAGTTGCTCAACAAATTTTGGGACAGAATGCAAAATCTCAGAAAATTTTGAAAATATTGCAGTATGAGATGGTTGTCTCTTTTTAGAATCTATAACAAGGAATTTTGGAACAGTGGGATACTGTGATTAAATTTTTTTGGAGATTAAAACCAGATAACAGTGAGAATGAAGGAAAGAGATTGCAAAACATTAAACAAAAATGTTACAATCACCGACCATCCAAACTTGTACTTGTTATTTTTGTAAAATACTTTGCCCTTTGTTTTATAACAGTAAATTAATTTGCAACAACAAGCTCCTTATATACATAAATTGAGAAGAGAACTTTTTGAAACTTTTAATGAATTTATTTGTTAGATTCGTAAAACCATCAGTAATTTCTAAAGAAAATGAAGATGTTACTCTAACGTCTATTCCATTTCAGAAGTATAGTAAACAAAAAGAAAATGAAAATTTAGTGATGGGTGCGGAAACAAGACTATATTTAAAAAATGCCAAGTTGAATGAAAGTGAAGTGAAATCATTTTTCAATTCTGTGCGAGCTTTTTTGTAACTGCATGTTCATATATAATTGATAAATTTCCACTGAGTGATCCATTTCTAAAACATGCTGAAGTTGCTGACATCAACTTGAGAACTGAAGTCTCATTTTCATCTGTTCTTTACTTGATGAATACTTTTCCATCCATTATTGATGAAAAATGTCTTAATCAAGTAGAAATTGAATTTTCCATGTATCAAGTAGATGATTTGAAAGAAATTGTAGATTTGCGTATTGATATAGCATGGGGAGAAATTGTGAAAATTAAAAAATATGAATGGGTGTATTAAATACAAAGTATTGCCTTCTGTAATGCTGCTGTCTTAATAATACCTCATTCAAATGCAGCTTGCGAAAGAATTTTTTCTATTGTTAAAAAAAATCAGACGGAATTTCGACCAAATTTAGGTCTTAAAACTCTTGAAGCAGTTTTGATTGAAAAAATAAATATGCAGGCAAATGAAGAACTGTGTTATAAAAAAACATTCTCAAAATCAGAACTTAAGCTTGCTAAGCATGCACATATAAATCTTTGCATTCAAAATTATGCGTATTTGTTTAATACTTATATGTATCATTCTTGGTTATTTAAATTTTATTTCCTGTAGAAATCATATCCAGAATAAAGATATGATTTATAGCTTCTGATTTTTCTATGATTAGTAGTGATTTGAAGTACTTTTTATTAGTGAATGTTGAGGAGTTTAAAAGAAAATTTCTAATTAAATGTGCATATAATTTACAAGGTATATTTTTAATTATTCAGTTTTATATGTATATGGATTTTAAATGTAATAAAATTGATTACAATTAATTATTAATTTAAAATTAATGAATGGTTAATTACAACATATGCTACGCGCACATTTTCAAAGTTGTAAAAATGTCGTTCGCGTGTTGACTACTGACAAGGTTTGCTGAAGGTTGGAGTCTATGAATATAATACCTTTAGCAGGCAATATATAACTATTTGAATCAGGAGTTCTGCATATTTTTAACTGCTTATTACATCATTATAATGAACTGAGATTCTGCCAGAAAATAAACCGCAGTGTTTTTCGGAATGAATCATTGAATGAATTTCTAACATGAAATCCTTTCTTCATCCTGCAGCTTTTAACATTTGATTCCAAATGCCTTCATCATTAATATGTAGATATGTTTTGTGATCATTTTTGCATATTTTATTTCGAAGTAGAACTCGTTTTTCTTTAAAAAAATGGTACTGTTGAGTTATCAGGACTGGATTTAGAAATGTATGTATGCAGGTTTATATGGATGTATGTATATGTGTAAGTACAAATGTATGTGTGTGTATACTATGCTCATACATATACACAGGCATACATTCATGCATTTTAGAATCCAGTCCCGATCACAGATCAGTACCAAAAAAATTAGTATGTACAACTAGGTGTCACCTTCCTTGAGTTGCACCTACCGGAATTTATATGGCATTAGTGCAAAGGAAATGAACACTCTTTTGAAGTCATAATAACAGAACTTTAAAAAACTGCATGTAAAAATGCTTCCAGAAATTATATGCAAGAAATAAGTGAGAAAGTATGCATACAAAATAAATGTAAGTGTAATTTTTAGCATTTTTCTCATAACGTTTTTATGACTTCTGTTCATTTTTTATTTGACAACTTGTTTTATTTTATGCAATTCGTGCTCTGTCCCACCCCCCTCATAGTGGCCATTGTAACACAAAAGTATCTTTCTTATGTCTTTGCTTGTAAACCATGGAAACATACAATGTATAGACATATTACATTATACAGTATCACCTCTCATGCCAGTAGAAATTTTAGTTCTTTGGCATTTATGTTATCTGCTGTTTTTAGGAACAATTTACAAAATTGGAATTTTAATTTTCATAAATTTGTAATCAAAAATAATTATTCTGAGAAAAACTTATGGTAATCCATGAATAAATGGATAATTATATTTACCATCAAAACTAAGGTGTATTCATCCAAATTCATACAGATTTCAAAATGACTGAATAAAAGTTTAAAAAATTAAATGTTTATTAACAACTGATTTGCTTGAGAGAATGAAAGATTCTGGTATACATGTGTGAAATTTGTATAAAATGTTACATAAAATTTTCATTTTTATATTACTTTTTTTTCCAATTATCATTTTTTTTTATATATTTTTGGAAGTATATGCAACCTTAATGCAAAAGTTTTCATTTAAAATTATATTTCTTTTCCTGTCACTGTTTCTAATGCTTGTTTAATGTATTTCATTCCAGCTGGAGAAATTATCATCTCTCTATCATGAGACTTTGTCAATGTCTTCTCGATCCTCATCTACATCAGATTATAATGCTTTTGCATCTGAGATTAAAAGTGAAGACGCAGAAACTGTCAAAGATGTATCTGTTAGTAGTACAGGCGTTATTCCTAATCATAAAGTAAGCCCATTGTCCAAAATTTCACCTGAAAATGCCAGTGCTATTGCAAAGGCTTTAAATGAAAAACCTGCTGTTGAAGATAGATATGCTGTGTTTCAGGATATTGATTCGTTACCTAGCATATTTGATAATCCAAACATTATCAGTTCTTCATGCACAAAAGATATAGATGAATCCTCGAATGTTACTAAATTGAATGACAGTCAAGAAAGTGATAATAATAGTGAAGCAGTAGCTGATGTTAAAACATCCACACCAATTGTTTTTGCAGAGCTAGATCCATTAGGAAACCATCCTTATGTTGACAAGAAATATTTTTTTCAAGACATAAAAAATCCTCCAAAAAAAGTGTTAAAAGATTTAGCTGGTGATAGTGGAGAATTGTTTCCAAGTTCAAGTGACTTGAGCTATAGTAGTACAGAAATGATACACAGTTCCACAAAGTATGATAGTGGTGAAGTGCAGCTTTTCCAAAGTTCTTCAGAAGCAGATATTTCTCAAAATGGACTTCGAATGCATAATTCTGATGTTCTTGGATTTACTGTTGATCAGAAATTGTTTAATGCTTTCAGTGAAATGAATGGGATTTCAGAATCTCAGGTTCCACCTAAACTTCCTCCTAAAAGATCTGTAAATGTTCCATCTCCTTTTATTGATACTGCTAATGGCCAAGATAATTTTCATGAGGAGATCGGCTGGGAAACAAAAAATCCATTCAATCCATTCATCAGCGAAGAATATCCCGATATCCCACCACCAAGTTCACCACCACCTCCCCCTCCACCTCGATTACCAACAAAAATTGCAGAACCTTTAAGCATGTCGCCACCTCCACCCAGGCCTCCAAGTCGATCCAATGGCATACCAACTCCTCCTTTGCCAAAAAGAAAATCCCCTTTCTCTTCAGCCAGTCGTACTTGGTTTTCATTTGATCAAGAACCTGTTGCATTTTCCATTGCCTCCTCCAGCATTGAACCTGATGCTAACAATCATTTTGTTCCTCCTATTCCATCGCCTGCTAGGAAATTGCCAACAGCTGGCAAATTTGAGCCTTCTGCATTGAAAAGCTCAAGTGCTTCCAGTAGTCCAGCAACATACAGGAGATTATATAATCAGAATCTTCATTTATCAAACTCTATAGTAGCAAAAGAAATAGATGACAAAAACATTAAGCCAAATGAAATCAAAAGTGGTTCTCCGCATAAAGTATTATCTCGACATTCCTCCATAATGCAAGAAAATGATTCGTATGTAGTTTCTGGATTTAATCCATTTACAGATACTAATTCAGTTGCTGATCTGACATTTCCTGAGTCTACAGAAAATTCTAAAATACTGAATCGTTCACCACCATTACCTCCTAAACCTACTACTATATCACGACCTAGGCCTTCACCAAGTAAAAAAATGCTAGCAACTGCTGATATAACTTCACAATCTAGCTCAAGTCTTTCAGTTGTAGAAACATCAGATGGTATACATTCGTCTAGTTCTTTAGTGTTTTCTAGCAGTGAAGGTAATAAAAGTGGTAGTAGCTGTGAGGCCTTTCTTAGTAGCACAGGAAGTCAGTCTGAAATATTTCCTCAGAATGTTTTAGAAACAACTCAGCAGTCTTCCAATAATAGTCAGCCAGAAGATAAAGCATGTGAATTGAGTCCGGACAGTATATTCCGCCGGAAGAGTGATCCTTTTGCTGATGACTTCTTTTTGTCTTTACCAAAAAAGTCATGCAATAATGCATCATTAGCTATAAAAAATGAAACAAAACATAACTGCTCAAATGGTATTGACAGTCACTTTGAAGACTTAAAAGTAAGTTGAATTTTATTTTATTTTAAATTAGGCTTGTATTTATGTAATGCTATATGTATTTGCATTATTTTGCTCTAACAGCCACTAAAATTATATCACGATAATTCAGCAGCATTAGTCCCATGGTTCCTCCTTAGTAGTCATCTTCACCTTTTTCTCCTTAACTATTGCTAAATAATTAGTTAGGAAACCAACGTGTTTTGCTGCATTGGCTTGCATTTTATAAAGTTTATTGTAAAACTGTTATTGCCTATCAACATGCCATGGATCCTTTTCAGACACTACACCTTAACCCTTTATTTTCTTGCAACATTTTATGGACTAGAGCAGTGGTCGGCAAACCATGGCTTATGAGCTAAATGTGGCTCTTTGAGTATGGCTCTTCTGCAAAATAGCATGTCCAGGTGCATGTACATAAAATCAAGAAAATCTTGAAAATACAATGAAAAGGCTGTCAAATTTTATAGAAGCATGAAAACAACTCCAACAATGTTATTCCTAGGATTTTTTTTTTTTTTTTACCAATTTTGGCGTTTTGATTGTACTGATTATGCATCAAAGTGTGCTGTCATATGCCACATTTTAACTAATGAAATGCTTTGAATTAATATACCATTCAATTTTAACTTGAATGAGAAACCAAATAACGTAAAAAAGTAGTTTTGTTTCAAAATATCAGGATTTTTATGCTTAGACCTTTCTAATCTGAAGTTGTTTCCAGTATCTGAAACAAAACTTTTCCTACTGAATTTAGGCGACATAAAATACATAGACAATGGTTGGGTTGCATATAATATGAAAAAACTTCAAATTGGAAATGTCTAAAAGCCCAGATATTTTGGCACGAAATTTTGGTTTTACGTTATTTGGTGTATCAAGTTGAAATTGCCATTGTACTGATTCTGTATTGATAAATGGCCCATTGTACTGATTTCAGTAGTTTTAATTGGCTATTTAATTTAGATTACTAAACTCATTAATATTTTTTTATTATAGGCACCTACTTAACAAAGGATTGTATCTTCAGTTGTTGCACTATATTCATATATTCTCTTTGTTCAAAAGGAGCATATATAAGTTATCATGAAATATCTCATGTGAAAAACTGTTTAGAATAACTATATGCTTAGTTCCTGTTAAAGAGAAAAATAGGCCTTACAACTTGCCATTCTTTACTCTGTGTGCCACAGTATTAAGAGATTTTTTTACATGAAATGTTTTTATTTATAATATATTCTATGCATCTGTGTTCAGACTTTGTAAGATCTGATAGTTTTTCAATTTTCTGTAACTTTCATGTTTTGTAATTTGTTATATGCAACAAAATTAGGGGGACAATGCCCTGTGCATGTCTGAAGTGTGACTGTATTTTTCATCTCTTTTAGTATGTTAAAAAAGTGTGCCATGTTTATGTTGATGGTGGGTGTATGATTTTTGATCATCTCTTTGCAATCTCAGTTGTAGATATTCTGGATATAATTTCTTTTAGAAAATTATAGTGTAAACTGTTCAGATATATATGGTAGATCTCTGTCTAATTTTGTGCAGTACTTATGAACAAAATATTATGTTGTTTTATATATTAAAAAAAATTTTATGTGCACATTTTATGTTTGAGCTCGAAGAAAGGAAGTATTTCTTTTGTGAAAGTGTAATTCATGTTTGAAAACAGAGATCAAATAATTGTAAATGTTAAAATAAAATTCTAGCTTGTAAAAAGAAAAATTGGTGTAAATATTGCAGATTTATTAGGTCGTAATTATAAAGTTTCCTAATATTAAATCTTAGAACTTAATTTTTGATCAAAATTAAACATGCTTACAGTAGTGAAAAATTATCAGTTTTTAATTTTTCTTTACTTTTGTTATCTTTTAAATCAAAATTCTGTATTTTTTCTTCAGATGATTTGTGAATGAAACTTTAGAAAAGTTTCACTATTCATATTTAAGGTGGTGTAAATAAAAATTTCATAATTTTAGCTAGCCATTTTATGCACGGGCTTATTTAATTAAATAGTGATCTTCCAGTTCTGTTAACTATTTTAATATCAACTTTATGTGAACAGCATTTTAATCACATCATGCCTAGCATAAAAAGTTAATATTTTGTTTTTAAAATCTACAAAGAATTACAACTTTTCACAGTTTTTAGACTTTATTATTAAAATTTTAACTATTATGAATAATTAAGAAAATTTCTGTCTATCTTACTTATGCATTTTCTGTAATTTTCAAAACAATGTTTCAGTGCTTTAATGTATATCGGTAAATTTTAGAAAATGTTTGAACTGTGGTGTGAGTTTTTAACATTAGCAGGATTATTTTCAAATGAATTAAGTTCAGTCAAAAGTCAGTTTTATCAGATGAATATATATTTTTTTTTCTTGAAGCAGGTACATAGCACATAGCAGGCACAAAATCTTTAAGAAATTTTAGAACTTGTATATACAATATTCTCAACATTCATTTGGTCCAAGTAGCTATCATAATGAATCAATTTAGTTACAAAATTTATTTTTCTACATAGAAACTGATATAGATATTTGTGTTTGATGGGTACTTAAGCTATCTTTATAGTTTAGGATTAATATTAGTGCTGTTTTGCAAAATTTAAATTTTAAAAGAATTGTAATAAAACATTAATTACTTTAGTAGTACATATGCATGTATACACTCATTTTAGTTTTTAAAGAATCAAGATGAAATTTCTTTTGAAGTGAAACCAGAGCGTATGAATAATAAGATAATTTTAAACTTTTCTTGTTATTAATTATAGAAAAAACAAATGTACTTTTATTCTTCAGGTATCAAAAGAAATATAGAAGCTTTTGATTTCTCAAAAGAAATTACATTATTAATTTAATGGTGAAATAATGTTGCATGTATTTCATAATGCACTTTAAGCAGCTTAATACATTTCTACAGTATATTTCAGTTTCTTTTTGGATTTTTTGTAATCATTTGCTGTCCTTAATTTTGTAGCTATTCAATTTGTTTGTCGTAATCATGATTTGGTTTTGAAGCTGTTCAGCTTGTTGCTTGTGCCATTTCATTGTTGTTAACTGATTGGATTAATTTTCTGTTAAAGTGTCACTTTATTTACTTTCACTTCATTCTGCATTTTTACAATATATTTTAGTTACCTGTGTTTGTGCTATGCACATGTCAAGTACAGAGACAGTCCCCTTCCCAGTAAATTTATATCCATGTAAACTTAACAGTTAAAAATGTGAAGTTGTGAATGTGTAATATTTAATTATAGTTTGAAATAAATCATTTGATGATTTGAAGAAAAAATTTATTACTATAAAGGAAGAAAATTTTTACTAAAATAAATATGATAAACTGTTTCCATTACATTAAGATTTACTCTTCTTGCTTACATTAGAAGAAAATAATGAAATGACCTTTCACAGTGTTAAGATACTTGTACTCTTTAGATGAATTCTGATTCCATGCAAAATATTGTATTTATATAGTAAACATATTAAAATTTCATAATAATAAGCTAGCCGTATTAAATTATAAGTAAATAATTTTGTTATTCATTGCTTTGTAGTCAATTGCTATATTGCATTTTCTTGTTCAATCATAATTTCCCTAGCGTGCAGGAAAATGACGTTTCTCTTGAGAATTTTATTTATATGTAATTTATTTATTACTGGAATGCTGGGTTTTTTTTTTTTTTTTTTTTTTTTTTAATGCTTGATGTATTTGGAAATAATTTTATTTATGCCTAAGATAGATCTGATAATCTTAAAGTTTTGAGTGAAGTATTTTTATTATTAGTGAATTTAGATTGTTTTTAAATTGTTTTAATATATGGGCATTTTTAGATTTAGTGTATATTTATGCATTATTTTCTATTTAAAAAAGTTTAAGCATTGATAAACTTAGGAAAGTTGTAACTTCAGACCTGTTGAAATTTTTGTCCTAAATATATATTTAATTTCAATATGTAATTTTTTGTAATATTTTTATTAAGAATCAAAATTTTCCTCAGACTTATAATGAGCGATTCATAGCTGCATAGCCAAAATGCTGTTGTATGGATTTATTTTCCATTTCATATTATGTTTTCAGATTTAATGTTCTTTTTGTAAGTGGGATTCTCCTAAAAAAAGGGGAAAATCTTATGTCTAATTCAGGAATTCAAATACTGAAAGTTTCATGCACATGCCTTCTCATATTCAAGGTGAAACAAATATGAAGTCTCATGTTGAAAGCACAATAAAAATACTTAATCTCATTCTCTCTTCATAAGTATAATGCATACTGTATTTTAGAGTTATTAATTTTTGTCATAGCTTATACAGGGCTACATAAAAGATTCTATCATTCAGAAGTATTAGATGTGCAGTTATGAAATGACTTTTGAAAATAACCATAAATTCACCAGTTTTTTATATCAAGACTGTTAATTTAAATAAAGTTGCTGCTTCTACACAGGGGAAGGCGTGGGACATATGCCTGTTTACCACTGTTAAACACCAGGCGTCCCCGTCTTCCGTCACCTGTTACCTATATCAAGACTGTGGTTTATGCAAATTATCAGGATGTGATACAACTGTGCGGTATTCTAGTGAGTGAGAGCAACTCATTAGAACATTCAGGTTTGAGCGCATATACTGTTGAGGGACCTTGTTTATGTACCCCCACTATTAAAAACGTTTGAAGAGCTCAAAGAATAGATCAGTGCTGCAGTGATGACCATTGACGCAATGACATTGCAAAATGTGTAGAACGAGAGTTCAGCTACTGTCTGGACATATGTCTTATGACCCAGGGGCACATACAGATCATTTATGCAGAAAATTTTGATGAGTTTGCAGTTATTTTCATATATCACTCATATTAATGCATGTAATAAATACTTTTGGATGTGTATTTATTTCAAAATGGATGAATCTTTTATAATAGTCCTGTATAAACATATTATTTTGCATTATCTGCCTTTCATTATAGCTCACAATGTCAAATTATTGAAGTACTAATTTCCGTTACAAAACCTTTATTTCACCATCTTTAAAATTACATTCACAAAAATGGAATTAAATCAAGCATCTTGACTTAATTCCATGAATTGTGTTTATATTCATATTTTGCCATTTGAGTTTCCATGATGAAGTTCCTAAGTTCTTTATAACTGTAACAAATCTAGATACTTTCTTCTTTATTGTGTAATTATATAAAAATAGTCTTATCTATATTTATGTTGCTGAAAACACCTCAGCCTGCTGACATGGATACTTTTTGATGTTAGGAGCTGACATGGATACTTTTTGATGTTTTTTTTTTTTTAGTATTGCATTGCATCAGTGAGGATTCACACCTGAAACTTCTCAATTTGCAGTAGCTGCTGTTCAAACAATTTATTAAGATTATTTTTAAATTTATACTGATAATGGGCTGTAATGAAATATTTATTATAAGAGCATCAATATTTTTTTCTATTTATAATAACATTATGTTTGATTATATAGAATTCAAAAATTAATAATGCCATATATGCGTGTGTGTGCATTTTTTTTCACTTATTTTGAGTAATATATACTTAAAATGTATATTTTCTATTTTGAGAGCATTTTACTTTCTATCTACATGCATTTTTTTAAAAAAATGTTTGAAGGCATTACTTTCAAAATTGATAAAAGAGAACAGACCTTCTTGTGTTCATTCATATAATGATTTTTGACAGATTTTTTGTTGTAAAATTTTAATCTACTTGATATAGATAATTTATAGTTTTAATAAATCATTTATTTCAATGGAATGTTATACAATACCAAATATTATAAATTTTATTCAGTACAAAAGCTGTTTTGTGTCATTTTATCCTTGCTTCAGCAAACAATAATCAGTTGTCATTTAATATATCAGTAATTACCTAAAAAATATTATTTTCATACTACTTTTTATATTTTTATAAATTAAATATATATATGTGGTTATTTTTCACCGATTTAAGTCATTCAGAATTCAGAATGATTAGCCTGATTTCTCATTCTGATCCAGGATTTATCTATTTTGGAAATTTACTTCCTGTGGTCAAAACTGTGTCATTTCATCTGCTGCTCTTCACCTCATGAGTACTCCTACTAATTAATGGAAGACTGAATTTTCCCCAATTTATTCTTTCAAAAAGTTGAGAGAGTCATTTGTTGAGACAGGGATTATTACATAATAAATGGTAGTTGGCTTGTTACACTTAAACAATCTGATCAGCACACACTTGCCATAAAGTTAGTAATTTTTGAGTGATGCATGGATATGAAATGCAGCTCTATTTTCCATCATGTGTAACTATTCTAAATTTTTGCCTTGATATTTTCATTCATCTTGGTTTAAAATAGGATTTTGACCTTTTTCAGAAGCTGAATTTATTGAAACGAGATGTGATATCCAGCTGTAATATTCAAAGATAGATCATACATATTAAAAACAAATTAAATGAAGGCAATAAATGTTGGATTTGCCTCACTGCTATAGAACTTTATTGACGAATTCTGTTGATGATGTATTGCAAGAAGGAAGCTATACCTGCCTTTCTAACCTAGTTAAGATTGAGATAAATACACCACAGACTGCAAAAAAAAATGGTTTGTGACGAACTTATTATTAACTTCAGAAAATTGTTGAATATTCAATATTTGTTAAATGTATGTTACCATACATCAGTCACGTACAATGAAAAATATACAGAAAACAATTAAGCTTACATAGCATCTTATTGTGAAAGAAAAATGAGCTCTATTTCCCTTAATTCTCCCTTCACGTAAAGTTTTTTTTTTTTTTTTTTTTTTTTTTTTAAGCCACAGAGCTCGAGGGCTCATTGTACTTTAAATAAATAATGTACATTCATATACATTATTTAACAAAAACATAACTAAATTCAGATATACACTTTTTGAACATTCCTCAAATTTATTATTCTGTTAAGAATAATTTGTCTAAAAGAAATCTTTAATAAATATTAGAATTCAAAATCTGATTAAGGTCAAAGTAGGGTTACATCATCTATACAGTTTTAGTTGACCAAAATAGATGTTTGCTTTAGAATAAAGTGGCTTTCAAAGAGCAGACAAAATGAGAAAGAAAGAATCTGTGGAGGAAAGCAGCAGACAAAATGGCATCATTTCAAGCTAGCACAACAGTTTTAATTTTAAGATTATGTAGATTTTTTAAAGTTATGGAAAAAACACAAGCTAAGAAAACATGACATTTTAAAAATGCAGAAATTCTCATTTTCATATGATGTGCATCTAATTAATACATAGTGTACAAGTACAGAATTACAGTGAACTGAAATTAAAGTGATCATTTTTAATATTCCTACAGTTTTCTTAAGTTTCTGAGTGATCATTTTGTAACATTTATTATTTTCTATGTATATAATATTTATTAATTTTGCATATTAGTTTCATTAAATTTTGTATTAAGAAGTGATGTTAAATATGATAATGTTAAATAATGCACAAATGTAATTATGTGTTTATACACTTATTTTAATCATTTTACATACTTAAAATGCTTTTGCCATTACTATGCAATCATTTGAATGATTTATTGCTTTGACAGTGACTGTATGATAAATTTATTTACCTGGTGTTTAAATCATTTTAGAATTTTTAAAATACATTTGCTTCACTTTTGAAGTTATATTTTTAAAATTTTATTTCTGAACATTAAATCTTTCACTTACAAAAATATTTTATGTACATTTTTTTAACTATTGAAAATGACAGATTGCATCATTTTTCCGATATATTCTTTGGTGAATAAATATTTTTAAACAAATCATTTCTGATTTTAGAAACTTTTCCAATTCTCATGAATGAGTGAAATAAAATGTGGGATGTACTGAATTCCCAGAAAATATATATTTGATGTAAGAATAAATAAATACAAAACATTTCAAAATATAATCTACTTGCATGCTAAAAGCAGCAGCAAGTGGCGGTAATAATGCTAAATAAAGTAAAATAGTACATTTAAAATTCATCCCGTATCCAGTTCAGAATTAACCAAATGCAAAAAATAAAAACTAGAAGCACAGTAGCAAACTGCATGAAAAAGGCAAAACATGTCAGAATCAAAAATGATAACGGAAATTTATGTCATTTGCTGCATTGTCGCCAAGGGATTGGTGGAACAAAATAAATATATCAGCTTCTAGGTGCTGGCATAATAATGAATGACACAAATTACTTTTATTGTTTTTCTGAAATTATTTGAAGTATTAAACTTTGTGTCTTTGTTGGCTTACAGGCCGATTTATTTATTTCTTTCGTTGCTCCAGCCCCCCTGATGACAGTGCAACGAAAGATGTAAATTCCCCCTTTTTTTTTGTATCATTTTGTTTTGCCCCTTTGCTGCAGTTTGTTATTGTTCTGGCTTTTGCATTTGGTTTATTTCAATTTGAATATGGGGTGGATTGTAAAAGATTTGAATTTGTTTTTGAATAAAAAGATAAATTCATGAATTAAAAAATGTAGACCATTCATTGGTAAAAAATAAATTTGTAATTCTTTACCATTTACATTTTTGATGCAGTTAAAAATTATAATTCATCTTTTGGTCTTTATTTATAGTTTTCTGATCAACTTTAAGCTATCAAGTAAAATAATTTTGCCATCATTTTTAATAAAATGCAGTGAATCCTCCCATGGGAACTGTCCATGGAAGTGATCTATATATTTTAGAATATAATTATGTATCAGTATCAAACATCATTTTTTAAGATGATTTAAGCATCATTTTACTCCATCGAAGATCAAACTCATCTGGAACTATGGATGATCTATCTTCTTTTTAATTAACTGAATAACTTTAGTAACATGTCTTCCCATATAAAAGTCATGAAATGATTTATTATAGACTTTCCCATTATTCATATTAAGAAAAGTCTTTCCCATGCTCACTGAATGACTGCTCATTAAATCTGCTTTATTCAGTTATTAAAATTGCCTTATATTTTAAAGCAGATAGAAAGATGCTAATGAATGCATTTTCAATAGAAGTTCCTGATAAACAGTCAAGCAGTGATTCAAGCTACATAAATATGTTTGTGAATTGGAAAAATTTGGTAATACTTATCTATTAAATATTGCATTTGTTAAAATTTCCAGTTTATAACAAAAAAATCGGTATAATAAATTAACTTGCAAACAGGTATAAAACAGGTATATCAAAGTATAATAAATTAACTTGCAAACAGGTATAAAAATTGCACACAGACTTTAAAAATAAGTAAAATTACATTAAAATTAAGATTTGTGATTGGTTTGTGGTGAAAAAGCTCAATGTATTTTGAGAAATAATGTTGTTTAGCAGAAGTTAATTATTTTACATGCATTTATTTTAGAAAAAATAGGATGAATTTCATTTCTTATTCTTTGTCAATGTTTTATTTAATAATTATGTAATTGTGCTAGTTCTATATTTCACTTAAACATTGGCTTTTAATTTCATATTTTTTTTTAATTTGAAGTTTCCTTTTTGTTCAAATCAACAAATGTTAGGGCTCAACTGAAATTGCTTGTCCTTTCAAGATTACAATAATGCATAAGTTATTCCTGTAAGTATGAAAAATGCCTAATCAGTCCAAGAGTTAAAATCCAGGTATTGTTTGTAAATAGTCACTGTGCAGAATTAACACTAATATAACTTCTTTGATATGTTGTTATGAGTTAAGTATAAAATAAATGGTGTAAAATATCCAGAATGGTTATTTTAAGGAAATGAAACAATGAGATTGCTTTATAGGCAGTGCAAATTAAGGCTACATTGAGAATCTCATTTGTTACTTTCACTTCTGCATCTAGTAGTTTCAACCACTTATTTAGTCTGATATGTAGATGCGAGGAAGCTTGCTATCTTATAGATTATTAATTGCAAGTTTTTAAATGAATATCTCTTTCCCCCTTCTTTTATTTGTTTCTTTTGGGGGGCAGATTGGGATTATATTTTTATTGTTAAGACAAAATATTCGAGATATATACACTTTCATAGAGATCTTTTTGAGGAAAACTGGCTCATATTTATGTTACAGGTAAAAAACTGGCATGCAGCCAGCCTATTCGCTTAGATATTAACCCAGGTCAAAATACTAACATTTATTTTATACTTAAAAAGCTTTGAGTGCTTTTAGCAGTCAGCTTCTAATAGACTTTTTTGGGGGGAGTAAAACAAATTGTTTTAATTTTATCATATTTTTTTTTCAATTATGATCTACATTTTAATCTTAGAAAGAACATATTTGAATAACGACAAAGCACACTGGGACTATTTGCCATAAAGGAGATATGCTTTCATGGAGGATCTCTCAGGCCAAATGGCTTATATTCTTCTTTCTCATAGGAAGAAAAACCATGTAAATGCTCTTGTGGCCAGCCCTTTTACCGGAATTTGAACTTGGGTGGTTCTCAAACTACCATAGTTTGGTGGTTTTATTCAATCAGCCACTGATGGGCTCAACAAAGAATGATTGGATTCAAAGACATAATTGTCTGAAGCTTGAAGGGGATAAATAAAACATTAGTATGTTACAAAGACTTTTCATCACCTGTGACATGCATATCGTAGTTGAATTCCAATACTGCAGCCAAATATTCAGATTCATAAACAAAATCATTACAAAATAAACAGTTAAAAAATTGAATTTTTGAAGTTAATTGTAAAATTATTAATCCAAAAGTGACTTTTATCCTATTTACTTTTTCTTAAAGTTTCTTTGTAGTTCTCGGTATTTAGATTTTCACACACACACACACACAAAAAAAAAAAAAAAAAAAAAAAAACAATTTTTAAAGTCGTGCATCTAACTTTAATTACTTGACTGGAGTTGTATTAAGTAATAACTATTTTCATGCAGTCTTGATAGCAAAGTAGCAAATCAATAAAAATCTTAAAACTAAATACATTTTGTTGTAGTTATGTTTGTAATGGCATATTGCTAGCTGACCTCTTTGCATCTTTTAATGCAGATACATTTGGGCAAAAGGATTACTAAGCACATTTCAGGAAAGTCTTCCACTTTTTGTGTTTGTATCTTTAGCGGTCTGTAAGATAAATATTGTTCACAAAATTTTCTTTTTGCTGCACACAAGTATTAAAATCTTATAATTTATATCTTTGTAGTATTTGTATTTCTGAACTTTGTACCTTTCTGAAAATAAGTTTGTGAAAATCTTGAAAATATCCCTCCTAATTTCTTTTAATTTGATTTATTTTATACCATTAATTTGTCATATGAATTATATTTATGTGTGCTGAAAAATACATAGGCTGTGATTCACAGTAATTTACTTTTTACCTATATTACATTTTGCAATTCATTATAAACTTATTTTCATCAAAGTTTTTCTATAGTTTTGCTTTATTACAGTTCTCTTTTCTTAGTGCAGTTCTTATTGCAGAGAAACACTTCATTGATGTGAAGTATACTGATGCATTTAAAACACAATAATCAAAATTATAATAGATCATTTTGTATGTTTATGTAAAATCATATTGAAAAAAATCTACTTAAATGGTTTTTCGTTTTTGCATTATAGTATTTAACTATTTTATAATTAAAAAGCATTTATTTAGAATGTTTCACTTTCACACAGGAGCTTAGCTAGGAAAAGTACAGTTTAAATCCTTCCCTAAGAAACTGTTGAAATAAATTCTTCTCATTTAATGCTTCATGTAAAAGAAAAATAGTTGTTCCTAAAATCCTTGATCTTTACAAAATATTTCCTAAATATGCTCCTGTAATGGAAGTTTTACATTAGTCCTGGTGCTATCTATAACTTGCATAAGTTGTATCATCCTAGCATTTTATTTTTTTTTTTTTCCCCAAGCTTATGAAATGTTGGTGCTTTTTGAAATTATGTGAAATTATTTTGCATTTATTTGAAACATAGAAAGTCAGCATATAAAAGTTGCTCTGTTTAGTGTATTATATTGTGTAATGTTATTAATAATTTAAAACTTGATTTTAGAAGAAATTAATTTTTACATATTTTCAGAATTTGCAAATAAAAATTGTAATCTGTTCAGCTTCCTCAAATGAAATTATCTAATATTGTTGAAAACCACTTCTTTACAGTGGTGTGCATCTAGTATGAATAAAAATGTTACTGCTATTGAGTTTCATATTTATTTGTCCAATGCAAACATTCATAATATTTACGAATACTTCATTTAAAAAATCGATTTTACTTTTTATAAGGCAAAAGTTTAGTAAGCATAATTACATGTACTTACATATGAAGTGCTCTTCCTCTAATTGAGTATAATGGCCTTATATTTCTTGCAACTTTTAGACAACGTGTTTAACACGTTGAGCACGGCGTCAAATTTGCTGTCCTTTCCGTTCAGCCGTATTTTTGTTTAGAATGTTTCATTACGTTTCATTAAAACTAAATTTGATCACATTTCATTGAGATTATATTTATTTTTTAACTTTAATAATGTCGGTCCTGAGGACCGACGCCGGTCACACGGAAAAGAGACCGGCGCCGCACTCAATGTGTTAAAGTCATCCTTCAGTGATACTTTTAGTGTAGCATATTGGAGACAAATTAGCGTTCAGTACTTGGTGTAGTGGGCAGTAACTACCTTATACATTATGATTTTGCTTATGTGTCTGTTGTGGGGGTGTTTAAAGAGCTAGATCAGAAATAAGTCTCTATAAAGCACATGACTTTGACATATTAACAGATGGTTTCCAAATAGAAAGCTGATCAAGTGGAAAATGATGAAAGCAAGTGTCACATGTACAAGTAGAGGGACATCGGAAATTGACCATTAGCCATACAGGTATAGTCATGTCACATTAACCATACAGTTCTGTTCTAGTTTTGAGGGAGAACACCCTGGGAATGGTCTGAGGGTCTCCCACTTGTCTTCCCGTATCATCAGCCTCTCAAGAGGACTTCGACTCGCCGTGTATTTTGAGTGCCTTCTTGCCACACAGCTACTATTCACTTAAAAATACCCATGTCTTATCAGAGATTAAAACCCATGTCCATCGGTATGGTAGTTAGTGTCATTTAACCACTATACCAGCTGGACAGCGGACAAGTATCACACCACGTCGGACATGCAATATAAAATTACGCATTGCAATAAAAATAAATTGTACAGATATAGCCAACTTGTGAAATCAGATTTATAGTACATAAAACTTCTAAAAGAAGAACCATAGAAGCTAAACAGTGTACCAGATCTATTGAGTAGAAAAGAATGATCTACTCAAAAATAATTAAATGCAAATCAACAGATCAGAGTTGGGTTGCCTAGTTGTGGTCTAAGATATATGAGTAGCAAAGTGTCTGATCAAATTATCATCTGGAATGTTTCAGTTACTATAAGAATATCTGAGAAGTTTGCTACATCGGAGTGTCGGTGCTTATTAGTGGTGTGTTCCATTATAGATATGAACATACATCAATTTATTTCTAATCAAGTAGTGGACTTAACAGTTCAATTTTGTTCTATACAACCTGTAGTTTGTGCAAGTCTACGTGTGAGGCTGAAGCCCAGGTCAAAGATTCAAAACATAGCTTGACCTTATTATAATGAATAAATAAACTTTCTTTTATTGAGAAACAGCCCAAGGAATGCAAAATTGGTTGAAAATGCAGGCTTTTCCTCTGACTTGCCAAATGGTGTGTATTTAATTATGGCAAAGCACACGAGGGCTATCTGCCTAAAGGGAGGGATGCCTTTCGTGGAGGACTTTCTAAGGGAAACTGGCTCGTATACACGTTACACATGGGGAAAACCACGAAAACGCCCATGCAGCCAGCCCGTTCGCGGGATTCGAACCTCAGACCGAACTACCAGTGTTCAGCGTCTTTACCGCTCGGCCACTGGTGGGCTACTTGCCAAACGACTAGCCCATGGTAGTTTTTGGTTGGGATATTTTAGTGTCATTGTTCATAACTTTGTCCAATGAGCGACAACTCTGAAGGTGTTATTAGGAGTTTGTCCATCCTCTGGTGGGTCACAAAATCTGTTTTTAATTTTTAGCCTTTACAAAAGAACGTGTTTTTTGGAAATAAATGAAAATTATAGAATTAACTAAATGGTGCTAGTTTTATTTTCCCACCTCCATTGTTTTTAGCATAATTTTTTTTATTAAATTTTATTTGATCTAATGCTTAACAGGAGTAACTCAGTATATGCCATTAATTTGTTCCAGATCTTTGAACATATGGACTCTTCCAGTAGACAAATAATCCATTTTTTAAAAAAATTATATTGTTATGTATATGATACTGTTTAATATTAAAATGCAAATGCAGTGTTTGAAATATGTATTATATGTAAATAAAGTGCTGTATATGATATTGTATATAAATGTTTTCATTACTTTAAATCAAAAACAACTTTCAGCATGCTCTAACATCTCTGACCTTTGTTTAATAATTGATTTTACCCGCTTTGCAAAGTTAGCTGATTTAATAGGGTCTTTGATTTCAAAATCATATTGGGCATATGGTATGCAATAGTGAAGTCCCAAATATGTATTCTATATTCATACTTCTAAACAATATATTTTTTCACCTCCATGGTGATCATAACAATTCTCTTCGTTGCTTGACTGCTCTTATAAACTTCCTAAACCTTGTCATTAACAAATTTAGAAAAATAAGTGATAAATTACTTAAACACTTGACAATGCCGACTTATAGCGAGAGCTAGTTTATGAGTATTAGCAGCAGGCAACCTGACGTTCATGAACAATTTGATTCCCCGAATTCGAGTATTATACCAAAGAAGAATTTTCGGTCCAAACAGAACATATACAGAGGTACCACTGTATCTATATTCCTTTTAAATAAATATATGGTACATTATTAAGTTTATCCACACCGTAGTATGTATGTTAATTTTATTTTCAAACCATTTCATCCTGTTATTTTTTTTCCCCTATTGAAGATTTTCTCGGTATAAAAGTATAAGAAAACTTCAAAATGAAATTAGCCAAATTAAAAATAGCTAATTGAGTACAGTAAGACCCCGCTTAACGCTGTTTCGGTTTAGCGCTCTTTTATTTCAACCCGGGGATTCCCCGAAATATTATGCAGCGATAGGTTTCAAATAGATATCCGAAAGAGTGTACTTGTATTTCTTGTTTGGTGCGGTATTGTACAGACATATTTTGAAGGGGTAAATGTGGAAGATGTTGACAGCAGTGATTCAGAACAAGAGCAAAAAGAACTTTCGATGGCGTTTGTAAAAAGGAGTTTGTCTACCATAACTGAAATAATGGATCAATTCATTGAAAATGATCCGAATTTTGACAGGAGCTCAAAAGTAAGGCGTGGTGTTAGAGATGCTCTATCCGTTTATGAAGAACTTTTAAGAGAACAACGCAAAAGAAAAAGGCAAACAACATTAGATGCTTTTGTCACAAAAAGGCAGAAACACTGGAAAACGCGGAAGGCTAACTAAATATGACTGACTTAGAATTTTATTTGTTTTTTTTTAAGAATATTCGTTTTGTTATTTATATTTTGTTTTTATTTTTGCAAGAAATAATAATGTGGTATTAATTTGGGCTTTAAGAAATAAATGTTTGGTTTTATTTTTATTAAAAAAAACATACTTTTTAAATTTAATACCTAACCAATTTCCTAGCCATCTTCCCCTAACCCCAATATTTACATGTAAAGATAGCCTCGTTTAGCGCTGTTTCGCATTACGCTCTACTTTGATGGAACGTATCCCCCGCGTTAAGCGGGGTCTTACTGTATTGATATATTCTGTGGTGTCTAATTAAGCGCTAAAGAGTATTCAATAAATGTTTATGAATCGTGAATGCAGTCAATTGAAAAATCGCTAATATAAGATTTTATTCAAATAAGAGTTCCTGGAAAGATTAATCAGTCAAAGAACTTACCTTCACATCGGTTGGGAAATTTGGTTCCAAAGCTTTAGTTCTCTATTAAATCACAAGAGGGCGCTACTGATCTTGAAGTGATGATATTTTCGTTCTTCCGAAATAGCGCCGTCATTCAAGAATTTACCGTACTTCGGTAATTTTTAACTTCAGTACTTTCTTAAAAGTTATGCGGCATATTTGGGTTTAAGGCCTATGGTATCCTTTCTGTCCTACTGAAAGGGAAAAGAATCAGTATAAAACTTTAAAGGTTTACACACTGAATGTTAATAATAAAAATATTTTTTAAAAATTCTGAAAGATTTAAAATTTTAAAGGAACGCCCGAAAGTAATTTGTTAAGGATTTTTGCGCTTTTGCCTGTCTACTACTTTGTTGCACTCACTTCTCGTAATCCATTTCTTTTTACTCTTAGTTTTATTATTAAGCATTTTTCTTTGTGCTTACGTAATATGCAAATCAACAACAAAATTTCAAAACATTTTTAAAAACAGCAGATGTTTAGAATTCCCTATTAAGTGTTTTTTTTGGGGGGGGGTCGCAGTTGTGTTCTTAGTTCATCATTTTAGTGCTCAGTTTTCTTAGATAAGATGACTTGCAAAACTTTCTTAGATAAGATGACCGCATCGCCAAGCCTTTGCTTTTCCTGCAGAAAGAGTAGGATTACGAGTAGGCGCCTCCGCCATTTTTTGCACTGAATTCTGAACATTTATATCCCATTTCAGGCTTATAGAGGCCTTACCTTCCCCACCCCCATGGGCTTTCTGAATTGATGCTTTTTTTAAAATCGTGCCATTTTCGCCTCTTTTGATAGATAGATAGTAAGAAGGATTCCCATTTTAGCCTTTTAGTTCAGGGTCAACGTAAAACCCGAAAATGAGACAGACCACATGACTGTTAAGTAGTGTAAAACAGCGTTTCTAAAACTCTTTTCGAGTGGGAATCAGTTTTATAAATAAAAATGTGCTGCTAACCGCATTATTATTACCCCTATCGAAAACAGTTTTTAACGTATATTAATACCACTGTTCTTATATTTTAAAAATACATTAATTTTATACCGATGTTAAAAAATTTATGTTATTAGATGAACTTTTTCCCTATTTCTAATAATTTAAGCTATCATATTTTTGATAATCATTATCTTATTAGTGAATAATTAATTAAATGTTAGTGCTCACAATTAATGAGTTGAATGAGCCTTTCGAATCGGGCACAACTGTTTTATGCTCGG